CGCGGCCCCGGCCCCCCGCATGCGCCGAAGGCTCCGGCCCCGCCCCGGGAGGCGGGAGGGAGGGGCGGGAATCCCAACCCCCCCGACATCCCGCCCCCCAAACCTCCTTCTCCCTCCGGCCCTGCCCCTCAGCAGCCCCATCCCCTGCAGGCTCCTGTCGGGTGGCCGTGGGGAGGGCAGGGCCTCTCCCTGCTGAGGAAAGGCTGGGGGAGCTGGGTCTGTTGGGCTTGGAAAAGAGGAGACTGAGGGGCCACCTCATCCCTGGGCACAGATCTGTTCAGGAGGACAGAGCCAGGCTTTGTGCAGGGATGTCCAGTCACAGGACAAGGGGCAGTGGGTGCAAACTGGAGCACAGGAGGTTCCATGTGAATCTCAGGAAGAACTTCTTTGCTGTGAGAGTGACAGAGCCCTGGGCCAGGCTGCCCAGAGAGGCTGTGGAGTCTCCTTCTCTGGAGACATTCCAACCCCCCTGGCCATGTTCCTGTGTGATGTGCTCTGGGTGCCCCTGCTCTGGCAGGGGGGTTGGGCTGGGTGGTCTTTCCAGGTCCCTTCCAACCCCGACCATGCTCATTCTGTGATGAGGTCTCCCCTCAGCCTCCTTTTCTCCTGAATAAACACCCCTCAGTCACCCCTCATCAACCATTCGCTCCGGACCCTCCATCAGCCTCATTACCCTTCTTTAGGACACGTGGACAACTCCCCAGAGCAGATGGCCCAGGTTGCACCCCTGGGTAACTCATGTTTTAAACACAAAGTGCGTGTTTACAGTGAGAATCTGTTTGCACACAGCATTGTCATCTCTTCATGTCACTGGCACGACTCACGTTTGCACAAACATGTTTGGCAGAAAGTACTCGGGGTCTTACACAGACAAAAGCACCTTCACACAGAGATAACACCAATTTGTTTTTCAGACAGACATGGATGTCTGTCTCTTCTCCAGACTTTACATCAGTTTCCCCAAATCCTGCACAAGCTTTTTCTAGGGTAGCTTCTAGTGAAGTTAAAGGCAAGGATCTCTGGGGTGCTATTATAAAAATAAAATCAGGTTGCAAATGAAAATACACAGCTTCTACAGTTATACCATGAATTAATGGTGCATTTGCCTGCTAAGTGGAAGGCACAGCATGAAATATTACCTACTGCTTTCTGTTGGGAAACACAACTTTAATCTTTTCTCTTGGATCCAGACACGTCTGGTCCAATGGGCAAACAAACAGCAGTTACTTCTGACAAGGTATTTCTCTTGACTACTGTGTTACAATTTGAATTCTGGTTTTATCCTGGAGGTTTATTTCAAAACAACCCCCCACTGAGCCCTACTGACAGTTAACTTATGCTGTAGAAGCCAGGTGCTATGCAGAGTAAAATACAGCAGGTGTTTTGTATCTTTACCAGCAGCCTGTTTGCATGGTGATGGCTTCTCATTTAGCAATAATTCCTTTGGGAGTATCTCCTTCTGATGTGCTTCCTTTAATTTACTATCATTCCCTACATCTGCCAATCATTATTTTGCTTGCTTCTGGATAAATTGACAAACCCTAATTGATTTAGTAATTTACAGATTCAACTGTGAGCCTGAGAAAATGTGTTTGCAGGCAGACCTCGAGATCAACACGTAGTGCTGCCTGTTGGTGTGGAGCCCAGAGTGTGATTTACTCCCACACTGCTTTGAAACTCAGGATGTTACACTACTTGTCATTGCTTTGCAAGCTACGTTGTCAAATGCAGCTAAAGAGAGACACCTAGAAAGCACTTTTTTCTTAATAGTCATTTCTTCCTGAAGTGTTCCTCAAGTATCCAAACATAGCTTTTTCCTGTTTCCCTGAATCCCTGGTTTCAGGGATCAACTGTTATTTTTTAATCTAAGTCTAGGCTGCACAGTTGCCCACAAGACTTAAGAGGCTACTAAATACAAGCTAAAATTAGAGTACAGGAGCAGAAGTGGCACAGCGTGAGGTAATTTGTCTTTCAATTTTACAAAGGCTTTATGAAGTTGCAGGAAAGAGCCAGAAAGCTTCTTTCATAATCATGTATAAACAGGCTCATTTTTATCTGCTTGCAAGAAGCTGAACTCTATGGCTGCAGGTGCTTGTTAGGCTGAAATATTTGGAAGTTCTACAAAGCCTCATCAATGTTGGGAGAATAATTTGGGAGAAATAGATGACTTTTGCTTCCCCTCCTTCTTTTATCCCGTTCAGTAAGGGTTTAATTCATACATTCAGGCCTTGCCCCCATGGGGTGTTCTTTACCCTACATTTTATATCAGCCTTCTGGACAGCCCACACCAGGCTGCAGCTGCAGGGATTCCCCTGGGGAATCCTGGTGAGAAGGCCAGGCTGGTGGGGTGGCCCTGATGGTGGCACCTTCCTGGAGGAAAGGCCTTGGGGCATCCCTGGGGCTGGGGATCGAAAACACCCATTTGTGTGTGCTCCCTGTGGCTGTGCATCCTGTGTTGTGTTAGGCATATACTCATATACACCAAAAGCATGCCTCTTCAGTCCCACGCCAGTGAGTTCCCAGAATTCTTGTGCACAGCCATTTTCCTTCCTGGAATTGGCTGTTTGTAATGATGAATGCTGAGGGTCTCCTGGGCGGTCTTTGTCGATTCTAGTCCTTGTTGATCTTGGTCCTGTCTCTGTCTGAGTCCTGTCGCCAGTCTCCCGCTGGTAGATCACCCAGGTGGGTCAGAACCACCAGGAGCGTTGTCTGCAGGTGCCAGAGGTTCTTAGAAGGCTTGATGTTCTCACACCCTGCAGGACGCCTGGCAGCACTGACACCTTCACAAGGAACATTGTTTTAAGAGCCGCCCTTAGCGCAGCAAACTCATTGTGGTAGCACGTTTTCATTAGGCTATATTTCTACCGAATCCACTAACGACTATCCCAGGAGTATCAGCCGTCTCGCGTTTCTTGCCCCCCCCAAAAAAGTGCAAGAACAGTTCATAGCTCAGAGGGGAAGGCGGAGGCAAAGCCTGCGGGGCCTGCACAGGTTTGTCCCACGCCGGACACCGTCGCGGCGGCGGGCGGGTGGGCGTGGCCGGGCCAACATGGCGGCCGGCGGGGAGAGCGGCCGGGCCGGGCCGGGAAC